GCACTGGATGGTATGATTTAATGAGGCAAAAACTGAAAAACATTCATATTTGTCAGACAATATGTAGCAATTAAAGAATGCAGAGAGGCAGAGTTGAGGGAAAGAGGCGAGGGTAGGGTAGTGAGTAATAAACATGTGCAAAAGCGTTGAAGAAATTGGGGACGGATAGAGGGGGGAAGAGGTCGAGGGCATAAGACGGTGAGGTTCTAAGGAGAGGATAAAAATAGATGAAGGTAGAGAGATGAGACTGTATAACAAAAAACGCCCTGCTCATTCGTGCTCTCCGTGCTCATCCTCTGCCTGCGCGAGGGGAATGGATGCAGCGGATAGGATTTGTGGTAGGTTGAATTATTTTAAAGGGTAAAATTATTTTTTGTTATATATTTGTTTTAAACAATTATTAAAAAAATGATTCATTGCATGTTTTTTAGAAAGCATACCAAACACCATATATTTAATCAATATTGCATTGCACTGCAGGAGTGTAATGGAATTGAATCAAAAGAATCTAAGATTTTAAATATTAATAAAGTATTCTTAAATATTAACATGTTAAGTTTAAATTGCAAGACAATCAATATGATTTTAGGATTTAAAAACTCAAAATATATATTTTTAAATTAAGAATCAAATTAAAACGTTTTACGGAACAAATGCATATTTTTGCTTTCAATTTATTATATTAATATATATTTATAATTCATTGTTTGTTATTTTGTTGGTAAGTATATACTACCTCTGGTTTTAAATATAAGAGTTAGTTGACTAATTTAAAAAGATTAAGAAAATAAGTTAAATTAGTTATTTGTCATAAATAGATATTATCTTTTCTAAAATATCATTCTTAATTAAGTGTATTGGCTAGAACCATCATTATTAGAAGGATTATCTTGAGAAAAAAATACATAAATATGAGAGATAAATGGATAGTTAGGATCTTATATCTAGAATCAAAATAAAAGTAAAATGAAGTCTTATATTAAGAATTAGAGGTAGTATATTAAATGAGAGTGCTGAGTGCCTCTGCTGGAATCCGGAGTCTTTCATTCTAAGCCTGCCCACAGTTTTTTTTTTCAAAAAAAAAAACAAGATCTTGTAAATAAGATAGAGATAGTACTTCCTCCGTTCCTTATTATAAGAGACATTTGATGTTTATAGCATGTTCCTGTATATAAGAAACACTTTAAAGTTGTCTCTATTTTTTTGTATTGATTTCCTATTTTACCTATATTTATTGTCTCCAACTCACACTTTCTCTCCTTTCCACTTCTATTTCTTTGAATAATTTATCATTGTTCTCTCTCATACTCTCTCTCCTTATTAATAAGGACTTTTTTGGAAAAAAAATTATATTTTTTACACATTGATTGTTCTTAACTAATTTTAACTGTTTTTTTATCAACGTAATTCAGTTATTTGTCTCTTATAATAAGGAAAAGAGGGAGTAATAATTTTGTAAAAAAACCTGCTCATAAGTCTAATTATCCGTGTGACCCAGTCTCGCGTACAACCGTCTCCTCATTGCAGAGCACAAGGAGCAAAGCCCACCTTATCGGCAAAACTGAGCACCTGTTCGTCCTCTCCGATCTCTAACTGCTCTCCACAGGCAGCTGAACACCTGTTTTACCAACGTCTCACTGGTTCTTTGACATTTCAATTTGAGCTAGGACCTGTTCAATAACTTTGTATAGTTCCTCTTGTTCTTTCACTTGTTGGTTTCTTCTTCACCTTCCTGCGCGCCGGTTAAACTGATTGCCCTGATATTACTCAATTTCTTTAATAATAATAACAACCATTCATATCCAACATGAATGACGTGAAAACCAAATGCCGATATAAAAGGGTCCGAGGATTCAATAAATTTAATTGGATTCCATATGATGAGAACTAATCATGACTATAGCATGGAAACTTCCGTGGGATGAATCATTCCCCATGCTCATGCATCTGGTATCATCTGAAGAAACTGTATTATTGACTGTGAACATGAAACAGAAGAAAGAGACGCTAGAAGTCCAGCCCGAATATCATTTAACGTCCAAGGTGACCTTTCTTTGACCCATTTCAAGTGCTCCAAGGCTATTGGAATCTCCCTTGCATCAGCTAAATATTTTATCAAAGTCAAATGCGATTCTGCGCCTTGTATTTCGGGACTAAGACTGCAAATAAACTTTGACGCAGTCATAAGATGTCCTGCATTGAAATTAACATTCAGCTGCTTAGCATGTTAGCTTGCAATATTTAAAGACACTATCAATTGTTCAGGTTGAGAATACCTTTACTGCAGAGGGATAACATAAACGTATTTAATATGTCTCTAGCAAGCGTAGTGTCTTGTTTGATAGACTGGTTGAAGAGCTCAAAAGCTGCTTCAAGCTTGGCTTCTTTGCAAAGTCCTTCGAGAAGAGACGTAAAAGTTGCAGCATCAGGTTCCAATTCTTTTCCCAACATGTGGTAAAATAACCTCTGAGCCTCTTCAATTTGTCCAACCTCACAAAATTTTCGTATAAGAATATTGTATGTCTTCAAATTCCCACAACACTGACTAGCAAACATCTCATCCCAGAGCTTTTTAGCAGGGCGCAGTAGATCCTGTTTACAACATGCTTCCATCAAAAAATTATAAGATGAGACATCGGGGACTATTCCTTTCTTCTTCATGTCCTGCAAAACTCCATAGCCTTCTTTAACTCTCCCAGCCCTGCATAAGATTGACAGCACCGCATTGTAACCCTCTAAATCTTTAAAACAGTTGTGACAATTCAAAACCTGGAATACCTCCAACAGCTCATCAAACTTGCCATGTTTACAGAGACTCCTACCCAAATTACTCACAGTCAAAAGAGATGGGAATTTCTCTTTTCCAACCATGAAGTTGAAAAACATAATTGCCGAATCAGGATCAATGGTTGAAACAGACCCTATCAATATATTGAGAACGTCATCCTCAATAGGAAAATTACCACCAACAATTATTTCCCCCAACTCTTTTGCTTCAGAGATCAGCCTCTCTAAGATCAGGGCAAGAATTGTGTCCTTGTAATCATTAGCCCTTGGAGCCACTCCTAATTTCCTCTTCTTTTTCAGGACCTTTTCCTCATCAGCCACATTTCCCATCGATTGAAATGCTACCGCAACAATTCTATACGCCATAAAATCAGATTTCCATCCCCTGTTCCTCAGTTCATCCAGCATCCAGAAAGCCTCAGACACCATAGATGCATGACAGAGCCCATGGATGATAAGAACAGCTACCACAGAACCATTAATGCCCGAACTGCATTTTTGAACCTCATCTAGTATGCTCAATACTTTCTTCAACTCACCCACTTTACAGAGCCTCCATATAAAGACCCCAAAACCAAGTGTACTTAAAGGGATGCTTTTCCGAGTCATTTCCCCAAACACTTTCTCTGCACTATCCAAGTACCCATCAGATGCCAGAGCAGCCAAGAGCGAGTTACATGTCTCGCTTCCAATTTCCGGAACAAGATACGATACTTGGCCAAAAAGTAGAAAAGCATTGTGGATCTTCTTCCCAACGATCTGGGAAGCAATTATGGAGCGATAAACAGAAGGGTCAACGGAAAATTTCAGGTCTTGGATCTGTTTCAAGAGGGAATCAATGGCACTGAATTGACGGGAAAGAGAGAGGGATTTGAGAATGGATTGGTAGGTGATGGGAGTGTGGGCGAAGCCAGGCTGCTGGGAAGCCCAGTTGAAGAATCCCAAAGCGAGCGAATGGTGATTGAGAAGGAAGGGATCGATGACAGCGGCGACGAGTGAGGGAGAGAGAAGACTGCGGCAACCGAGTTTGTGGAGGGTGTGCTCCAGAGAAGGACTCCATGAACGCGTTGGCCTGGTGTGGTTTGAGGCGGAGATCAGAGCTCTGCTTATTCGAACAGCCAAATCTGCTGCTGCCTGGGGTTTCATCAAACGGATGGTGACCCTCCCCAATTTTCGAAGATGACGTTGTTAAATACTCCCTCTTTCAAAATTTCCCTCTGTTTTCTCGGATGGTCTTCCAACATGTTGCTCCAAGTGAATCGGTTTTGTTTTGTGAATAACTAAGTAATCATGAAAGTGTTCATTACTGTGCAAATTAGTTTGTTGTGTCTTATATCTAAAGTCTGAATAATAAATACTATATCTCAAATTCTTAATATAAGAGTTAATTGATTAATTTAAGTAGATTAAAAAATTAGTTATGTTAGTTATTTGTAATAAATAGATGTTGTAGTGTATTAACTAGAACTACTATTATTATAAACACTATATGAGAAAAAAAAATATAAGAAACAAACTAAATTAAAACTAAAATAAAAATCAAGCTAGGTGAGGTATTACCTACAACAATAAACCTAGACAGGATTGTGGGAAACTGTGAATCACACATTGACATCCCCTGTCGAGAAAAAACAGACTAGCGTGAATGTTTGTGGATATGCATATACACACACATTTAAGCATAAATAGATTAGACCGAGCCAAAACCGACTGGTTGAATAGAATTCTAGATCTACTCATTTTAAGTTGAAGCTGGTTGAGTTGGACTTAACTACGTTGAAGCTGGTTTAGTTGAATTTAACCTAGCTTCTTCCAGACTAAAAATGAGATTTCTTACTCTTGAAAAGAAGGCCAATTCTTCAATTAAATATCTTGAAAAACTCAAATCCACTTGATTATGTTTGTTATAGCCAATTATTCGATCAAATCTTGATATTTGTATATTTTTTTCACATTTCATTTACTTAAATATAACGGGCTGTAATTATATTCACGATAGTCCTAAGTTTTGAAATTTAATTGAAAAATTGGTGATAATATAGACAAGGCTTAGCAAAACATGCATATCAACGTCACTGTCAATAATTTTTTCTCCCGCCTTTGCCCCAACGAGATTCACTCGATTTTTGCTCAGTTTTGAAGCCCTCCCTCTTTAATTTTCCATTCATGGAGTTAACCACAACTACAAGCACAGAATCGTCTGAACACCCATATCCGAAAATGACACTGTTGTATTCCCCTAGACAACCATTACAACTTTCTGGGGGCAGATCACAATTAAGTTCGATTTCTAAGTAGGAAACACGGTATATAATGCTATACACAGATATTTACACATGTATACATCTTTCCCACCATTATATACATATTTACATCCTTCTCACCAAATTTATCTAAGACTACTCTTTGCTCCATATGTACAACCTAAAGTTTTCTTCTTCATTAACCTCTGATAATCTAGATTACTCCACGTACGCAAGAGCCATGTAACGTACTTTGTACATTCATATACACAAGACTATGTGCAGGATGAATTTACCCGCCCCTCTTCACTTTGCTGGGAGGAAGATGCATATTTACCATGTCATTGACATCTACATTTGCTTTGACTGGGCTGATGATGATTAATGCTGAGAATATAGGAAGATAAGACTTAAGAATAAGATCTGATCAACTTAAAATTCTGAAAAGATCGAGCTTTAAAGAAATTCCCGAAGAGGAATCCGAACGTAGTCTGATGAGGGGCCTTCGGTGGAAGAGTGGAGTCGTGTTTCACCCGAAGTGCTGTCTGGCCGATCTGCCTGCGAATTGAATCGATGATCTTGGGGTCAACTGGGTTACCGGTGACATCAGTGACATAGAAAGTGTCTTTGGCCTTTCCTCCTTCTGTTGATATTTCTGCTCTCTTGATGCATAAACTGTTCTCCCGGAATATCCTCGTTATCTCTGAAAGGAGTCCTACACGATCTTCTGTGCATAACTCCAGCTCCATCCCCTGCACACGGACATTTTACTTCGCCATATAATATAACCGAAAAGGAACTGTTAGAAGTACAGGCTCATGGCGGTTGACACACACCTCAGATACTCGCCTTTCAATGGCTGCTTCAAGACACTGTACAAGACGTTCTCGCTCAGCCTCTGAGCTTATAGGATGACCGTCAACATGTCGAATGTAAAACTCCTAGATAAGAGAGGAAGAAGTTTCATCAAGATTAAAAAAGGGTAAGAAAGGGAAGTTGAAAATGAATCCCAAGTGGGTCTAACCTGATAGGCTTCTGTACCATCTGTGCGGACCACACCGTGAAAAACTACATACTGCATATCTGTTAAGGTGCAAACAATATCAAACAACAGTTTGGGCCTATCTTTTCCCCTCATGGTAACAACAGTGTAGTCTTTCTCAATGCAATCTAACACGGTTACATGGGGAAATGAGCTCCTATCTCTGATTTCCCCTTTTCCTGCTTTTTCAACCCTTTCATAGTCCCTGTCAGCAAACATAATCTGATGCAACCTTCTGTCCCTATTTGTAATTCCAGGCGGTGAAAGTGTTGTTCGTGCTGTCTTCAGATCACTGTCCCCCCTAAGGACATTGCAAAGCAAGTCCCTTATTGTAGAGAGACGGGAAGAATCCTTGATAGCACGCCCACTGCAATCATCAGTCACATGGACTACAGCTGCAGCCCTGGTATTATGTGTCCATATCTCGGCATTTACAACATTACAGTGCAGGTCTGCAAGAACTGCACAAACTTCAGACAGTAAACCAGGCCTGTCTGTGCCCGTGAGTTCAATTGAGGTGTGCTCTTCAGAAGGAACGACCCCAACAGACCCTCTCAATGAAGGCACAAATCCGGGATTGTTTTCAAGTTTCTGCAGATTGGGAAAGTAAAATATCAGTAACTACATGAACTTTAGACAGTCAAACATCAAGGGACTAAATATATTATTGATAAAAGGTATGAGAGTATTTATCATCCGACCCAAAGGAAGAATTTAAGCAAGCGTATGCATGTTTCAGACTTCAGAGTCCAGAAACCAGTGTCTCCCAGAAGAATCCAGAAAATTCATGGTACTTTCAATATCAGAGTTCAGAAAAGCAGATTACTGAAGAGGATCATATTTAACATAGGAAAACATTAAAGGAACAGTTTTCTCCTCCGTTTTACTTGACCTAGTAGATAGCTCATGCAATCAGCCAACGATAGAGTGCTGCTTAATTGGGTTGAGGATTTCTTTTTTATTTTTCGGTTTTTTATGCAGAAAGAGCAGAGATCCATTCTCAGATACCAAGGAAACGGTAACAACTTACATAAAATGGAACAGCTAAATTTAAATAAAGTCAAGTCTCTGAGTCCCTACCCTTTGAATGTAATCAATGACTTCCCTATCTCTGATTTTGTTTCCATTGTGATCAATCACGTTAAACACTGAAAACATAAAGCAGAGCAGTTAGTTACTAATCTGATAATGATAACAACAAAAATTCAAGCCTTTTACATTTTAACCTCTCTCTGGTGAAAGAGAAGATTACCATCCATGAACCACACCCCATCAGATGAGATGTAGGCTTTCCTTATTATAAGGTTGAGATCCGTCAGAACTTGGACAACATCGAGGAGAATCCCGTGTTTGTTAACACTATCAACCTGAAAAAATTATTCAAATCATACTAAGATAATACTACAAAATTAATCTGGTAGACTCAAAATTTTGAATTTCATCTCCGCACAGATTTGGGGGGAAACGGAAGAAAGGGAAAAGTAAAATGTAACAAAGGATTCTACAACTCCATGCCAATCGAATTTTGTGAAGCCTAAACACAAAAGAAAACAAGCTTTACCTTGATAACGGTGGCGTCTTGACTAGCGTCGTTGTCGATTACAACCCTGCATGAAGCAGGCACAACAAGAGTTAGTGGCGGCCAGTCCCTCCATCATCAATACACATACGAACTCTTGAATAGGAATATAAAACGTAGACATAATAAATATAAGTACGGCCACTTGCAAGTAATCAACCCAAAACGGTCATTAGAATCCCAAATTTTAAGAACGTTGAATACAAATGGAGCAGAAATACAGAAATCGTTTTGAAACTGGACAGACTAAATCCACGAGAACTGGAAAAGAACCATTAAGCAAATCTCTAACAGACTTCTTTGTGTTTTTCACTTTTTTTGAGGGCAGGGGAATAAGAACCGGAGCGAAACTCCATTTGAAAATTAAAACCACGGTTGCAAAATATAAGGGAAAAACGAAAAGAACAACAGACTCCTCAATCCCTAAGACAGTCCCAAATTTGTTGGTGGCGACTCCGACGGTCCCCTGAGAACATATAGAACAACCAATATACTTGTCCAAAAAGCGAAGTAAAAACTCGTACAAATTAAACATAAATACCTTGGGGGATTCATACGCCAGATAAGCTTTGCATATTCATCTTCCATTTCTGAAAAATTTAAGAAATACGTACACCAAAAAACTGTTGGGAAATCTCGGAGCAGGCTCGGCAGTTTTAGTACCTCGCCAGAAATAACATACTTGTTCAGGGGAAGATAAGAAAAAGAGAAACTCGGCTCGAATCAGAAAATACTGCAAGTATAGGAGCCCTCGCCCCGCTCCTCCAAAAAGCACGGAAATGCCAGAGAGATAAAAGGGAGTGAACGAGGAAAAGGTACTATATAAGAGGGAAAGCTTAATAGACGAAGGAAGAGACCCTGATTGTGTAGAGAATCCGCGGAGGAATGTGGACTGTTCTGTGTGACGTGGCAGGCGGTGATTGGGGTTAGAGTATCCGCTCATGTCTTTTGACCTTTTCGGGCCTCACTCGATTTTCTGGTATCAACTCGTACGGAGACGAGTTTCTCTCGATCAGCAAGTGAAAGAATTGGCGGTCGATGACGTGTCTCTACACGTGTCGCCTCCACAATCGGGCTTAGATCTGCCGCTATTATTGCCGGCAATCTTAGCTTCATCGCTTCACCGACTGAATTTCCGCCCGCTTACTCGCACCCGTCCTCAACTTATTGAGGGGAATCCCCCCCCCCCCGGGGGGATCGCTGGCCAAAAGAGTGAAATAAATTACGCTTCATTTTATCCTTTAATCGCCGAAGCTAGTTTTAGGTGACAGTTTGATGTGATTTGGGATCAAGAGATCTTGGCTTGTCATGTTTAAATAACTTTCTAATGATAATTAAATGTATTGTAAAGAATCTAGAATAAGTTTTAATATTTACAGGTTACTTTTTAAACTGTCCTATTAAGAGAAATTTTGTTAGAAAGTATTCTTCAATAGAAATAACTATAAGAGCATTTTTAAAAAATCCAATGCACAATATTTTTATAAATAATTAATTTTATTTTTTAATCTTTATAAAACAACTATCGAATAACGAGTATTATCATTTTAGGTTTTACATAAAATATAGTGATAATAATGATTCATTGCACTAAGTCAAGATAAAATTTCTTTGGTTGTCATGTGAGTGAACAGTGGAGGAACGTCGGCTAGAAGAGAGAGGGAGAGGCGATGTGATTTAAATGGAGGGGAGGCAGAGGCACAATGGAAAAGGAACGAGCTGGCGATGAGGTAAGAGGCGGATTTGTAAAGAGAAGAGCAACGAGGATGGGTCACGTGGGAAGCGATTGGTGGGGGCTGTGTGAGCAAAAACATACATTGCACAGTGAGGAATATGAGTAAGATAAGAAAGTATGAAAGCAATAAATTGGATACAATGAGAGGGTAAAAAACCTTATCTCAAATGACCAATTTGGAAAATGACGGAAACTAAAGAGTGATAGGGAAGCCGTCAACGTGGTGTTCCCCGGTGTACCAATTCTGGATATCCCGTCCACATCCTCCTCCCTATTTTCCATCCCCACTCCGCTTCATCACATTAAATTAAATAAAATAAAATTGTCCATTTGCAGGGGTGGAAAGAAAACACACACGGAAAATTGAAAATTGTATGAGGTAATTAAGTCCAACATGCGAGGCCTGCGTGACACGGCGCACAATGTTGATCTCTGGGGATTTGCTGGGCCTAAGTGGGGTTTGTGTTGACTTTTACGAGGGAATCCACAGTCTGGATGGGATATTCTTTCGGAAGAATCTCAGCAAATATCTCCTCCCGACCTCCCCCCGGGAAGGAAAAAAAAAAAAAGTATTGCCTTTTTTCTTTTTTAAAATTGTTCGAGGGGATAGGACGTGGGGCGTGTTTGGTTGCTAGGACAGTGACGGTGCGTGGAAGTTGGAGGAAGGAATAAATTAAAGAGGACTCTGTCTTGCGATCATGGGCCCCCATATTCCCATGCCCAGCATAGTCTCCGATTCCCTCCTATATTTATTTTTTATATTTACATATACTACTCACATAATAACTAATAATGCGTACAGGTGGCCTTCCTTCCCTTCCGCTGCTTACCATTCCAAGCCCCACCCTTTTTTCTTTTTAAACATCACCAAAGATGAGGACGCACTTCCCAAGAGTCAGATATTTGAAGGCGGGATTTTTTCTATGGCAGTGGGGATCCTTCTTTCCAAATATTACAATAAGAGATTAATTTGAATAAATTAAAAAATTAATTAAATTAATTATTATAATAAAATGTTTTTTTAAAAAATATTATTGTTAATTAAACATATTAACTATATCTATTATGAATTATTGTTAATTCTTGAGAATTGAAGTTTTAGATCTATAACTGAAATAAAAATAAAAAAACGACTTTATATATTAAGGATTGGAGGCGGTATATAAGTATTACTTTATTCATATTTACAAGTCATTTGTAAAAAAAAAATTATTTTTATAATTAATGATAATTTTTAAATTTTATTCCTGTTAAGTTAATAAATACAGAAGGAGCTAAAATAAATAGATGAGAAAAAATATAAAATATATTTTTAATACCCTTCATTTAGTAAGGATAAATATGAAAAAGTATCAATTTAATGTATTTTTAGCGCACAAGTAACTCGTTATAAATAAAAACGGAGTGATTTTGTTTTTTTGCGAAAATTTTCCCCCAAAATATTTTAGCGAAGAGAATGGACTGTGATTTTATCTGGAGCCATTGGACACGATCCTCATAATTCAATGCGCACTCGCCATCCGCGAAGATCACGATTTAATTATCCAGCCACTGACATCTCCCCAGAAAGGGACACGTCGCCTCGCCTACGTGTCTGTGCCACATCATCACCACCCCCTACTCCCCTGACGCGCACACTCATACTGACGTAAATTACTATAATACCCATGAGATCCTCTCTCATATCTTGTCTGCAAGTACGCCCTGTAATCTTTTGCACGGCATACAAATAATTAAATTTCGTCAATCAAAACCTGCTCAAAGCTAATAAACTAATGAAAAATACAACTTGTTTTTAAGAAGGGAGAATGGGTGAATGAGTAATTAATACAAAGATTTTTTTTTTGCCAACAATACAGTGAAATTAATCAATAGGAGGAAATTTAAAAAGTGTACTTAAAATTCCAGACAAGTTCTTAACATCTCCTATAAATAGTAAATAGAAGCATGTTATTTCTTCCAAACAAAAATTCTATTGTATATGTGACAGAAGGAAAGTATTTTTTATTAGCTGCTTTATAAGCTTGTAATAGTGATTTAGAAAAAACATGTCATATTTCTTATAATGAACTAACTTACTTAACTTTTTTAATTTAATCAAATTAGTTAAATAGGTATTATATTAAAGACCATAAAAATACTTTCATATATGTCTTGTATTGACAAAAGTGATATGAAGATGTTCACGGTATGGAAATTGATACTCTTTGATCCATGTTATAAAAACGCATTCAATCATCTCACTAAAATTAAAAAAAAAAAGCGGCTGGTCCATTAAATTTTTTCAGGAGTATAAAAAATATAAGTTTATCTATGTCTAAAATTTTGAATTCATCTTGAGAAAAAAGGAAAATTGCATCAAATTTGAAATATGAGTAACGTTGTAAAATGTATTTAATATCTCATCAAGTAATTTATAATAATAATAATGAGTGTGTTATGTGATTGATGAAAAAAAAGAATTACTTCACAGTTTTAATAACCCAACTAGCCTTCAACAATTTACAATACATTTAATTCAGTTTAAAATAAATCATATTTAATGCTGGAGGGAGTATACGTGTACACAGAGAGAGAGAGAGAGGACAATATAGAAAGAGTGAAGGAATTTGATTTAATAAGAGATTTATAATTAAGAAATTGAAAAAGGGAAAAGGAAAAGGAAAGTGGGAAGTGGGAAGGCGCACATGGCTTGGAGATGAGGTGTAAGTTGGGGGATAGAATAAGAAAGTAAGAAACAGAATTAAGAATTAAAAATGCGTTAGGACTTAAGAACAACATGTGTTGGATCTAACAAACTGGGGCGGCGGGCTTATCTATCAATCATCAAAAAGGGGCCTTCCCTATTCTGCCGCATCCTCCCTCCCTCCTACTTGCTTCCTGCCTCTGCTTTCGAATAACATGTGGCTCTCCCACTTTTCTTCTGATTCCCTTCACATTTCTTCCCCACTCACCCACTTCCCCTTATTCTCATTCCCCTCTTCATTCTCTCATCACACTTGCGTCATCCCATTTCCCCAGCCTTCGTCCAGTAGGTACCATATTTCTTTATTCCAATCTAAACCACCATATATTCTCCTACAATCACTCTCCAAAATCAACTCAGTATCTCTGGAGACTTGAAATACTTACCAGCAGGTACAATGTTTAGTGTCACTGATTCCTAATCTATTCACGCACAGCTGGTCCTTCCTTCTGTTGTCTATTGGCCAGATTCCAACTTTAATTTAAAGGTTCAGCGTTTGGGAGCCTTTATTCTTTTATGTATATTATATTGACATGACAGTTTTATATTTTAAGCACTGTTTGGTTAGACAGAAGAGGAAAGATTCTTTTTCTCTCCTGCCAAGATCAAGATGGGTATCTCTTGTATTTTTGCTGCTATCAGCTGATCATAATTATTTCTTTATCTGGAACCAGACCGCACGCAAAATTCAGATATTTTTAAATAATAATAATAATAATCTTACCTGATACGCATGCTAAGTTACCGATAAAGAAGTCTGTCAACTTACTGTATCGTTCTGCTTCTTTTTAGTAGTATTACAAAATTATATTTGCTCTATAATCTTTATAAATACGAACCCGACCTTGAGCTATCAAGCACAGATGCAATATGTGATTCACGACGTACTTGAATAAGATTCATCAACACACGTCTCCATTCTTATTATCTGTAGGCATAATATGTGAATGGTATATATCTGACGTGAAGAGATTTGGTCGAGATTTGGATAAAGAATATGTACTTTCTTATCTCAAATCCTTGTAAGACCGAACTAGCTGACGTTGTTCTCAAGTTTCTTATCTAACTTCACTTTTCTTGGATTTACGCATCAACTCGCTGATATTAATGGGCTTGGTCTGAACCTTTTCTTTACTGACATTTCCAATCCAGACGAGAGCCTAGTTGGGCTTGAGCCCAATCTGCGCATGACATTTTAGTCCTAACTTCGTTTTTCAAGCCGTTCTTTTAGACCAACTTCAATCCAGTAATCCGATGCCGATTAAGAAAGCAGACATGTACTTGATTTAACACATGGAAAAACAAAAACTTTCTCTCAAGTGTTGGATCGTGTAATAGGTAAGAACCGTTATTTTTAATTCCAGAAGGCTGCAGATATATCTTTTTATCGTCCACTTTTCATGCTTGCGTTTGCGTGAGCCTCTCAGTAACTCTAATTGCCCATGTCTCTCTGGGAGATGGGTTAGAATAATGAATGTGCTACGACTCAAAAATGAGCAGCAAAGAACCGCATTTAATTGTTTAACTCTTCTCAGAGGGGTCAAGGGTATACTTTTTCATGCATATTGATGCTTCCTTTTCGCTTTTTCAGCGTGTGAGATGATCATTATGCGCTGAACCAACTTCATTTTTATATTACATACTGACGACAACTGTTTTTTTCCCCTTCCTATCACTTTGGCTTTGTTGGCTTTCATTGCATGGTGTTACCTTTGTTTTCTTGACCTTAAAGCTCTCTCTCTCTTTCCTGACTTTTTAACATGTGGTTTTTTTTTTTTGTTTTCCAAAACCTAAACTAGGAGAGGTTGGCACGACAAGGAGGCTTATGCATGCATGTGATACAAGGCAGACACAACAGTTTCACACGCGTGAAAGTGGCCGGAGAGCAGAAAGATATGGCGAGCATTGGATACCCAATCAAGTTAAAGGGATAAGAGAATCTTGTAAGGTTTTTCTCTTGTTTCGCTTGAAATATGAAAAAAACATCTATGGACCGGAAACATGAAATCCAATTCCATTTTGAATATAGAGTTAGATTATGGTGGGTCACTATCAGACACATACGTGATGTACCAACTCAGTGTGAGCCTATGCAGTAAGAGCTAGCTGTTACTAATTTACTGCTTGCTCTTTCACCATCACAGTACATATGAAGTTTTGCAGAGGAAGTGAGGATGCAAGTCTGGTCGCTGTAGCCATATCATCACGAACGACATGGGTGGTGCAATTTAATGGCGTACAGGGCCTACTGAAAAAGACGGCACGCCCAAATAAAGAAAACACAGTTGAAAGCTTTTTTTTTTTTTTTGGTCCAAAAACACAGTTGAAAGCTTAAAGTTGAAGATTGATACACATGGCGGTCAAATTTTTGCAAAGAACCTCCACCTCAAGAACCCTTTTCTAGGCTGGCATGCAATGATGGTGTCTGATGCATTTTTAATTCTTGAACCTTTTTCCACTAGATTTCTTGGCTATTCTCAAGATCAATTTAAACTTCAGAAACACTTTCCTATTTTGAAAAAGTTGGATGTGTGCATGCTGTGTATTTCACGAAAAGAGGCTGTTGGTAATAATGATAGGAGTTGGTGGATGCGTAAGTGAAGGTGTTGGCATAAATTTCAAGCTCAGTGAGATTGGGATGACAAGAAATGAAGACCCTCACAGAACTATTAACACTGTCATAGTCGGTGACCAGAATAGTAAGCCCTTCACGAACCAAGAGACTGATCGTAGTAATGATAAGAGATATCTAATGTACTCGACACAGAATTAAGTCTTGGTTGGTGACTCCTCTAATTGCCAACAGTTCTTCGCATGGAGACTGAGCAGGTTGCAAGAGAAATGACACATGGTGACTAGATATGAGAAGAGACGATAATAACAAGTCTTATCTCATTAGTTCGGTTACATAAATTACAGTACAACATTGTGTTCTATCAAAAACTAGATTCTTGAAATTATGAGGAATTGAGAATTGAGAAATATTTAAAATTACTGGTCTGTTATTACGTGGAACAACAATAAATCAGGAGAATGATGCAAAGATATTCAAAATGTACATCTGCACTTGTTATTCTGATAGATTCACAAGCCTAAGAAAATTGCAACTTCCATTATAATAGATGCAGAAGACATATCGCTTCTACTTTAATACCATGTTACAACACAAAAAGATTCAGCATATCAAAAGTTTAAAAATTATCACCAGCCCTCTAGAATTTCTGTGACAATGTTAAAAATCTCATATAGTGTACAAAGACAACAATTAATCATCATGCAGTAAGTAATTAACCCAGATCAAGGTTTGTACAAATGAAGCATACGATATTTACACCATACATGTTCACTTGGGTTGTTCTGTACTAAAGGTGATGCAGAATACAACTGATTGTTGCATGTAATTTCAGCTAATGTCATTTACTGGGCGATACCAATTGAAGCTTGCAAGCACAAAGTCCCACAAGCGTGCAAAGCTGACATGAGCTTCTATGGTGAAATTAATATTGGAAGCACTTGCAGCCAGACACCATAGGAAACTAGCGAATCACCACGCACCATGGAGATTACCACATATCCACTTGCATTCAAATTTGACAAGGTGATCTCACAGAAACTCAAACAAATTGCATGACGAGATCATAGAAGTTTCACATTCTGGCAGATTCCTTAGTAACTATCTTGAGTAGCAATTCCAAGTCTCATTCATAACTTAAATGCTAAGTTTCACGTTCCACAATCAATAATGACATCAGTGTGTTCTTGAAGATGCGTTAGTTTATCAGGCTTAACACCACAACCAGACATCTTATGACAACGTTAGCTTCAGAAACAATAAGTTGTTTCGGATTTCAGCTAGGTTATTAGAATGGCTGATTGGTTCAATTTCTGATGTTATACGGAAGTAAAAGTACAGAAATAAGCCATCACAAACCGATTATTAGTTTCACTTCTTAACCTAGATGAAGGTCTTCACCCGTTCTCCAAAATAAAACATTTGCCAACACCAACTTTGCATACCCAAGCTCTACTATAGTACGCTGGCTTCAGACTTCAACTGATACTGAAAAGGAGGACTTCCACAATGAGTGAAAACCACATTGACTTCTTTGTATCAAGAACAGTATAATCCGTTTCAGATATAAAATTTCATGAGTGACAAACCAGTGAATTTGGCCAAAAAGAAAAAGAAAAAGAAAAACCAGTGAAAGGAAAGGGAAAATTGCTATCCTTTACAATGACAGAGAGCTGCAGATGTCAATACTTAGGTCGACCATATCATATTCTTGAAAGAAATTACCATTGAAAGGATGTCGAAAAACATTACATGTATAGTCGATGAAAGGTCCCCTGCACGAGTTTGATGGAAATAGCCAAGTTGTCTGCGAACACCCGAACCCGAAATGCGAAATGGTAACAAGAGGGCAAATTGTGTGTGGAAATACTAATTTAGTGTGCCAGACAGCTATTGGGTTAGAATCTTTCAGATGACAAAGATGAAGATGCAATACGATTTGGCAAGATGATTATGTAACTATACCATTACTTTCACAAACAAACAGATCATCACTCCATCCTGACCTATGGAAGAAAAAAGAAAAAATAATCGATTCCTTACAAAGCAATATTCAACACACCTCCGAATTAAACAAGACATTAAGTCCAAACCCAAGCTATGTGCCAGTGCAACTCCACCTGCAATTTAACATCACATACAACATATCAGTAACAACCCATGCGTGAGGATAGACCAAGAGAGAGAAAATTGGGAGCACCTGTTTCTGGAGACTCGAGTAGTGCAGCAAATGAATAAGAAGATGTTTTTTTTGGTTTGGGGGGGGGGGTGGGGGAAGCCAAATCCAGGTCCTATTGAATTCCTTCAGGTATCTATTTGCACACGTCTCCCAATCATACAATAGAAAAGCCATTTGTAGAAGCCCCGGACTACGGACAATTCTACTTGTTTCACTGTCCAGAGCCCTGAGAGTCTTCCTTGGAAGGAGGCTGCTGATGCTGATGCTGATTCTGCTGCTGCTGGTGTACTCTGGCCTGACCCATCTGCTGATAAATCTGGGACAAGGCTTGTGGGTTGATAACACCGATGTGACCATCTTGAGACAAACCAAGCTCCAAGCCGGGCATTTGCTGGTTAGTTCCACCTAAAATTGAGGTGAAACTCATAGCACCCATGTTCGTGGCTGCCGGAGGCAAGTCAAAGCCAGGGAAGCCAATCTTTTGCAGGTAATTTGAACTCTCGCTTCCAAGACTTGGTGTGGATGGACCCGATGATGACTGAAACCCGAACCCACTAACTGGGGGCCATATGCCAGTAGCCATATGGGGTCTCCCCAGATTTCCGCCCACCATAGCCCACCCGGTCCTACTGCCCGACCCAATATTGGACCCCCCGTATTCATCAATTTTCTGATGCAATCCTGCAGACAGAGAAGTCCCCTGTTGTGAAACAGAGCCACCTGCAGCAGCTAAAGCTGATGCCGGGATCGTGCCGCTTCCGGTGGCCGCGATGATCGAAGGCTCCGCCTGCTGGAGAAGCCACTGAATGGTTTCGCCGTCAGATTTGTGACCCAACTCTCTGGTCAACTGGAAGATCCTAGCGGCACACAGAGCGGGCATCCGTATCCTCCTTCCTCTGCCCTCTACTTTGGTGTGTCTGTCTTTGTTGGAGCTCCTCTTGGGCGCTAACTGCTTCTTGTTATTGTCTTCTTTATCGGCTATCGCAATCTGGAAATCCTTGATTTCTGCCGGCTTGTTCTCTCCCATGATGTTGGCTTGTGGTTGTGGGAGACTCAAGAAGTTGGGTACCTCCTGCTGCGATTGCTTTGAGCCCTTGGGATCCATGAACAGGGCACAAAATTATTTTTTTAAAAATAAAAGGATGGGACCGCTTTGATCGAAGGAGGATGGCCTGAAAAGTCCTAAACTTTCATGAGCTATTCACTGTTTTTGGCAAGGATGAAGCGACAAAAACCACAGAAAAAATATTAAAATCCCAATGTGCCCCATGCCAAGTTTTTAGATTTTTACTCCGCCCCCTGCTTCATTCTCTCTCCTTACCTCTTTCTAACTGTAGCGGGATTTGACCTCCCTGACATGCCGTCAACTTTAACTCAAGTTTCACCACCCCGACCACTACTAACGTTACATATCGTTCAGACATGTAACGTAACATAACAACCCCTTTAATATATTTATCCCTCCCACATTCCACTGCCTTTCTCTCATGCATGCCACGGCCCATAATTGCAGCACCGGCAACGGATGATGCCAAATTGCCAACCATGGATCTCTTGCAAGGAACTCCACTCCCAAGTGGAAGGCTCCGGGAGCGACACCTGGAGGGCTATGACTGGGGGATGGGGTTCACACGTCGTCCACCACATAATCCTCTATAAAAAGGGCAGAGAGGGGATTTAGGGATGAGATCAGCAGGCACCATTTGAGGGGGGAAGAGAGGGGCACGCTGGGGTTTATCAGATAAAGGGAGGCAATGATGGAGGAAGGAGGGTGGCAGAAGGCGCGGAAGCAGCATCTTGGGGAGTGCTGTGTTGAATGTTGCTAAATCCGCGGTGTGGGGCCCTGCGTGTTCAAGTAAATAGACCTCTTATGTCATGACATGACAGTTTATGAGCCATTTACCTTAAAAATCCCATTTCACGTGCCCAACGGTAAATAGTACGTACACAGTTACCCACATCCGTAACTACCCCACATCCACACGCCCTCTTTTGTATGGAGCTTCATACTATTGCAAGTTGACCTCCCTCTTTTGTATGGGTTTCATCATAACCTCTGTTTGCTAATACATATGAGAAATTTTTTAATAAAACCCATTAATTTTTAGGGTTTTTCTGATTTTTTTGGGGGGGATCTGAGATGGCTCTCATTTTAAAAAAAATGAAAAATAATTATCATTAAAAATTTTACTTATAAAAGAATCATACATTTCTACACATAAAAAATATCGGAACTCTGGTTTAGATTTTTCCCACTAATAAAGTTTTTAATTAAATGGATTTTTCAGGTTTTCTGGGGTGGGGTAGGTATACGTTGGAGAGGGAGACACGGACACAGAGATTGTGATACGTAATATAGTAATAATAATTAAGTGTCATAAGTTAGGGCGGAATAAAGTGCAATGGCTTCCAACTTAAATTTAAATACAAGTAAATCAAAGCTAAAACTTACTACTACATAAAAAATAAAAACTAAAACTGCAATATATTATCGTTTAAAATCTATCATCCCATACATACTGATACTAACGCATCTTTAATAATTTAAATTAATATTTTACATGGCAATTTTTAGTCGATATTAATAAAAAATTAGGTTTTGTTTTTCTTTTAAAAAATAATTAAAAATGTCCCATCAAAACGTGGGGCCTCAAATATATTAAAAGATTTTAATTTTTTCGGAATTTTTTCTTTAAAAAAATAATGAAACGTCAGAAAAAAAACCATATATGATTAAAAGTGGAAGCCCACTATTCAAAATACTGTAGAATTAGAGTACATCCAGGTTACAGTCGACCTTTATAGTTTTCCATGCAAGGTGTCCTGTTTTATAATTTACTTCAAGTTAACCAATAAAGGTTCATTCAATTAATAAAAAATTATTTACAACCTATAAAATCATAAGTTCAAATTCTACTATTAGTGAGCCATTTATAAGTATATTATTGATCTTATTCCTCTGATTATTGATGTTTAAGTTACATAAAATAAATATGTAAAAAAAATTTTATTTCATAAAACATAAAAGTAATATTTTTTCAAGTATTCTCAACACAAGTAAGTGTTGGGATAGCTCCCAAAAAAATTATTTCTACATTTTATAAAATAAATTTTTTTTATCTCGGGTAAAATAATTTAAATCAAACCGTGTTTGCTTCAATTATCACGACGTAGTGGACGTGGATCCATGATTTGTACAATGCGCGTGAATTTTTCAAACATGTATTCCCATTTTATGGCCGCTCCCGTGCCTTATTTTGATCCCACTTTTATTTGCTTTCTCTTTTACATTTTTTTAATGTTTTTTTCCTTCTTTTTTTTTAATATGTATTACCATTTGATAAAACATTTAACATGAACAACTACTGCAATTATTATTTTTTTAAAAAAATAAATATAATAAATAAATTGAATTAGGATCTTATATTTAAAATTAAATTACGTATTAAATTAGTTCTTATTTTAATGATTAGAGGTAATATATGAAACCAAACGTGTTAAAGAATAACATCCTCGTGTTTTCGAGGATTGGGTTGCATAACAACGTCTTGCTATTGAATATCGCTCATGTGTCACTCATTTTATTTTAAATTAATTACCTTTTGGCAGCGTTAATTTTAAATTAATTGCTCCACCTTATTAGTTCTCGCTTTAATAAAATCACATAAATAAATAATTTTAGAACACAAGATAATATTAATAATTGCTATAAGCATCTTATAATTGGATGCTTACCTTTTCAGCCAAATAAAAGTTCATATATGAGTTGGAAACTTATTAAAGTCATAAAACGCATTTAATAAAGATTAAAAAACTCTCACAACATAAGATACTTATTATCTAGTTATCTTCACTAATTTAAATTATAGAATGAGAGATAAATAGAACATATGTGTGTGTGGGTGTAAAATAAATTAAGACGCATTAGATTTTTTTTTTTAAATGTCACGTTAATTATATTTTTGTAACTTACTCCTTCCGGTTCAAAATATAAGATAAATTTTATCCATTTAAATTTATAAAAAAATTATTTAAAATCAGTTTAAAACAATAAATATGTAATACATGTTTTTTTTCTAAATATGCCCTTATTAATGAAGAGAATAAGTAAAAGATACAATAAATGGATAAGAGAGGAAAGAGAATATATGGGGTAAATTTGAAAAAAAAAAACTTATTAAATGTCTAGACAAAAGTGAATGCTGTTTTATATAAATAAAAAAAATCTTTCAATAAAGTTTAGCTTATATTTTGAACTAGAGGAAGTATACGTTAAATTCTTAAATGAAAAATAAAAAGAAAACGGGGATATACAGATTCACATGCATAATAGTGATATAATTATTGAGTTTATTATATGTGTTTCTCACTTTCCTGAAAGTGGGATTTGTTGACAAATTGAGATCGTGTGTGTGTATAGATGAGACATATAAGAAACCGAATTTGAGGGATGGACGATGAATAAATATATCTATATTTTCTGAGGGTCTAAAGTGCCCATCAGTTATTTTCCACTGATATCGCGTCTGATTGGTATAGACAACGACAACATTTACGAAACTTCCTTGAAAGCCCCGGCTCATTTCATTTAATATAATTATCAGAAAAACTTCCAACACCAATTTGACACTTTAAAAAATGGGCTCTTTTGTAACATTCTACGCGGTAACTTTTCATTTGCCTTCAAATTATATACGTTTCGTTGAAGTGTGTGTATACAGCGCGCACATATTGATTTCTTTCTTTCATTTTAGAAGTTCGGCAGTCTAGAAACACCCGACTTACTGTCCTTATCTCAAGACAAGGATGAATCTGGGGATTTAGATAACCTAGTTCTAGTTACTAGATCACATCGCATGTGGATCAAGTGATTAAAAAAAAAACTTAACCAATATCTTAAAATAAAACGAAGAAGAGTACAAGAAATGAGAGATAAGATAAGATGAAGCATATCCGTGCGCTTGAGGGATTATGTTGATCCAATCTTAACGTATAAGTTTTTGGAGGCTATCAAGAACTTGATTATCACTTACAATATGAAAGCACTGATCATGAGGACACGGGTTAGTTGGCTAATTGGTCCAAAGTTGCTTTAATCACCAAATTTCAAAAGTTTTACGGGTCGATATGATTGTTTTCCCCCCTTTTCACTATTCTGTAAAGAAAAATCTAGTGCATTCCTCAAATGAGACTTGTAAGGAAGAGAACACCAACCCAGTCAAATGATCACTCATCATGTAGGAATCTCAGTACAGTTGCCACATCCATTTTTCTTCCATTTTACACCTCTTGTCTCATTATTGTGTATGAGTCCCGTAATCATAGTTAGAAATATAGGGAAGCTTCGTTTCTGGGGAGTTTTATAAGACCAGAATGAAATTTGATACTATAAACTCTCTCTCTAGCTCTCTCAGTTCTTTTTTTTTTTTTTTTTGACTTTGTTTGATTCAATAGAGGGAAGAGAGGATGATAATAATGGGAGGCGAGACTATGTGTGCGTAGGTGATTGCATTGAGAGTCACATGTGCATCCCACCATGCAGACAAGGTAGGTCCCTCCATCAAAGCTAGCTGTTGAAATATCATACCTCATTTCATATGAATTCAAAGCTTCAGTGGGAAAAGATCTTCTTTTTCTAATTGGGTTTTCTTTTCTTTTCTTTCCTTTTTTTTTTGCCCTTTACCTTTGATTTTTTAAAGACTCGCTTCCATAAGAGATAAGCTTCATGCTAAGTTTGTCTTAATCACTTTAGTTATGCTTCCTATCTCCTGTCTTTTTCAAGAGTTTAAATTGTTTCTTAATACGAAACTGCAACGGTATGTTAATTACGGATCGGATTAGCTGCGATTCTGCTGAACTATTTCATCGCCTAAGTCACCGGAAGGTAAAAATTTATTTCTTTGGGGCCTCCAATGCGTATTAGTTTCAAGTCTCCTTGGGTCTTGTAACAGTTCTGAGTTTTGCTTTCCAAGATGCACCTAACATGAAAAAGAAAAAGATCACTTAGATTTAAAAAGCTACCAGTATTATTATGGAAAGAAGCATTAAAATTTGAACGCACTCCATATATGCTTTACAATGCTTTTGTTGACAAAGATCATGAAAGTGACAAAATGAGGATCGAGAAGAATTTGAGTTTTGGGTTACTGTTGTAAATAGGCTTGATCGGATAATTATCATTAATTCCTCTGTATTAATGACTATTATCATTTATCAAATTTCATAAAGGCATTGATGAAAATCTGACTTGAGGAACGTACACTTCAATGAAATGGACAAACACGTTCATGTCTGATGTTTGGTCAGACCTGTCAGGCACAGTATCAAGCCATGAATAATATTACGTAAATAGTTAGTTTGTAAACAGACTGCAGAATTCGCACCTGAATGCCTCTATACTTAAAACACACACATCATTTACATATTTTTGGTGAATACCCTGTTAAAGCTATCGCTTTCCATTTACAATATTGATCGTACGCGTCTGTTTTCATGTCAATAGGGTTAACAAATTAAGCCTTTTCTCTGTTCTGTTACTTGAGCTTGAAAGGAGGGTCATGG